CAGGGAACCAGTCTAGCTGGCTCGTACCCGTTCATATGTTTGTAATAGATTGCAAACAAGTGCGATGGTCAATTGGGGTCAGTATTTGAAAAAAAAGCCAGTTTTTTCCAACGCTGATCGGCCGATCAGCGTTGGAAATTGATACAAAGATACCACTTTTCTTGAAAATGACAGTATACCAGGTGCCATGATTTTACAGGATGCTTTACACTGTCATTCACTAACAGTCCAGCAAGGTATTTCAAAATGATTTGGTAGTTTTATTTTTTGATGTTTGCAAATGTTGTATTTTCCCTTTAAACAGAGTGATTAAATCCAATGAAATCCAAATAGAATCCAAGACGGAGTGTGCAGGGAGAAAACAAAGAGAAAACATTAAACATTCAAGTTCATGTTGCATTCTTGCCTGTTTACAAAAACAATGCTTCAAAAGTTAATTGGCTCTTTCTCTTTTCCACTCTTTTTGAATTGAGTAGGTTTCATCAGAACTGTAGCAGTACTCTTGATCATATGACAGTGTTGGCAGGCATATGTCTATGTGTGAGTCATCCATGCACGGTTGTGTCATGTTGTAACAAGAGTTCCACCTGCCTATTCCAACAATCGGTCTTGATTTCCTGCTGATTTCTTAAAAGAAATATGGCCGGGAGTGCTCTTCCATTTTTACAACTAGGGGTGACATCTACAGGAGTAATTTAATCCCTAGAAATTTGCTTTGCAGTCACAATCCAGAAAGCCTCTTTTCACATCATGTAGAAGGTTTAAATCCATGGGAGGAAAACCAATTTATTTTCTGTGAGAGTGTTGCTCAATATTCTTAAACATGCTCATATTGTCCAAAGCTATTTAGGCTTTATATGTGTTCTGAATATCATAGAAATGTGCACACTAAGAAAGTCAATTTTGATTCATTCAATTAGAGTGCAGCTCAACCTAAGTGATTTCAAAATTAAGTTCAGACTATACAAGCCTTAACAATTCTGCCTTACATGAAATTGTCACTGTAATACATGTACATGTATGTCTCGCCACTGAATTTTTTTTATACATTTTAAGTTTCACCCTAATGTATTGAGCTTCAGGAAGAATTGAAACATATTTTTCTTTCTTCCATTTAATATTTGTAGGAGCGCAGCTAGAAAAAGTCATGTATAGTGGCAAAAGGTGTAAACATCCCAGTCCGTAATTCTGAGAGTGAGATCAGGACACCTGTATAACCACTCAAGCGTGTCGAGGTTGTAGAGAACTAATTTAGCCAGCCAGTTTCCAATTTGTTGTAATCAAATTGGAGAATAAGAACAAGGGTTAAGTTTATGTGGAGACATGGACTACGCGTAAATGCATGCTCAGTAGATGGTGCTTTGTGACCAGATCTCTCGTGTGCTGGACATTGCTGCATGTGCACACTGATCTTAATCCCACAATTTTGAAATGTCTGGAAAAGTTTCATGACTTTTCTGTTTTCATCCCCTCATCTCTAACTTGATCAATGCAGCTTGATTATAAGCAGACTACTAGTTAACATCGCAGTTTGCTGGATTTTAAATACGTGTAGTTCACCTCTACTTATTTGGAGGGATGCTCATAAAGTTGCTAAATTTACTACAGCAATAGAAAGCAACAAAAACAGTATTACTGTATCCATAAATTTAACAACTTCATTCTGTAGTTCTCAAAAAAGGCAATATGACATTTAAGGTTCAGTAAAGTAGAATTCAGTTTTGCTGAATCAGTTTGAAAAAAAGTTATCGATTGGACCCGAAATTATAGAATGTTCTCCATTAATACCCAGAATCTTGTCAATATTGGCAACCTGCATACTTCCATTTAGATCAATTTTTGGATCATAACACAAAGCCGAGACACAATGGCCAAATGTTTGTTGCACTCAGGCATGCAAATACATTTATCATCAATATTTTTGACAATGTATTGAGTGAAGGTGATAGGCCTATCTAATTTACGACATGACACTAAATGAGCCTATGCCCCTGGGCGTTGCGAGGGGGGGAAGGGGAAGCTCCCCCATCCCCCCCCCCCCCGGAAAAACCAAAGAAAAACAAAAAACAAAGGGGGAAAAAAAGAAAAGAAAAAGAGGCGTGAAATCATATTGTTGTTAATTTAATGGGTTGGGGAGGGGGAGGCAAATGTCCCTGCCCACCCTCGAAAAAATGATCAATCGGGAAAATGCTGGAAAATACAGTAATTTGGGGGGAAAATGGGCTTTGCCCCCCTCTAGAATAAGTCCTGGCGACGCCCATGCCTATGTCTATGGGTTGGTGTACAGTGTATGCTACCTTGATGATAATTTCAAATGAAATTGCTCCAGCCTTTCACAAAATATAATTAGCTTGTGCTTCACATTAACTATGATGAAAAGTTTGATGAAATGATTGTTCGATGAAATGAGCGTGCACTAACTGCCTTGATGCTAATAACACATGAAAAGTGCTATGCCCTGCCGACCAGCAATTTATGTTACCATTAGAAATAGGTAGTATGAATTAGAGATAAATGACTTGGCATAAATGGACGGTATAGCAATGGCCTGTAACAAATGACTCCAACAGGTACTGCTACCATGAAGGGGGGATTTGAAAAATATTAAAAAATAGGGGTTTCATAGCTTTGTTTGTTTGATGTCTGCAACACTGCGGGCTGCCCCCTCTCCCTTCAGCAAAATCCAACTAGCCATGAACATAAGAATACAGGAATGAACAAACTTTGTGTGGATGCAAACAAGTTGAGGGAAAAAGTCATCCTGGTTGGAATTGTTTCCATGTGAATTAGTATCACAGGAGTTAGTTTCAGCTGACTGCTTGTGCTGGCTGATTGCTTGCATGAGAATGCCACACCACTCCTCAATTTTTAATTATGGTTTCCATATCGGCCCTGACCTTATCAAGTAATTGTTCATGCATACAGCAAAGCATCCCCCCCCAAAAAAAACCCCAGAACATACACCCCAACACACACACACACAAAACAGCTGAAGGAAATTTGGTGCAAGCTTGACTTTTGATCAACATTTCTGATCTTATGTTTTAAAAACATTTTAAAAAATAGAAAAAAAAAAAAAAATATGAAATATGATGCGCCTATACAAAATCGACATTTCTACACTTGATCTGGTGGGATTATGACTGCAGATGGTACAATGAATTTCAGTTATTCTGCCCAGCTCACACACAAGTCATCTTGCTGATGATAATTATTATTCTGTTCCGACACAGAAAGGCTTTTGCGAATATGATCATATCCCATTCTGGATATGTTTTGTTCCAATTTCACGTCATGTTGGTGATTGGACCAACCATATATTTCCAGCTGATTTTACAACCCACAAATGCATATTTAATCGAAGACAATATCCTCACAATATGGCCATGAGTAAAACATTAACTGTCTTCTTACCCCCATAACTGCTTAAAAATTGCTCATGTTGCCCCAATGGTGTAAGATAAATAAACACTGAACACTAATCTCGGCATGTCTTCCTGATGTGATGTTGGACTATGCTCCTGAGGATGAGTCTGGTAGACTTGCTGTCAAGACAGACTGTAGAGCCATCAAGTCTGCAGTTGGGCTCAATTTATTAGTCTGTGGTGACAGCCAGTATGTTAGCTAGCAGATGATTGATGACATAGCCTATCACTGAGTAGGAAGAGGGGCTATAATTATAACATGCATACTGCAGAGTGTAGCATTTTGACTGATCATGTACAGCAAGGCAAAATATGTATCAAGTTCTAATGGAAACATGTCCCTTTTTTTTCAAGCTTTTATCCGATGGTTGGTTAAAAAAATTCAGGAAAAAACATTTGCTTTAAAAAGAAACATTTCTTATGATAGATAAGGGACTAGTTTTTATATTTTTTATTTTAGACATTTCAACTTCAAGGGATTGAACTTGCTAATTTCTTCCTGCATTTTTTTTCCTTCATTATATTTCGGTCTGGGAAACAGGAAGGCCACATAATGTCTTGCATTTTAAAGGAACATGTTGAAAACCCCATATGGTTACATCTGATGAAGCTATTTTTGGCTTTTCCTGTGCACATTTCAAGCAGTAAATAAAGCCTTTCAATTATAAACAAGAGCTGTCAACATCAGACTCACACCACAATGATGACTGCCAAGCAAGTGAATAGGTCCAACAATTATGAGGGCAGTGTGTGTTTGATGCTTCGCTTATCGCAAAGGAACATGTGTGACTTGAATCTAGACTAGCCCTCCAATGGCTTGATTTTTAAGGACCAAACTTGTGTACCCTGAGACAGACCCATTGCATGTGATGTCACATCTGAGGGCAGATCCTTGTTCCTCTATAACTGCCAAGAGTCAACATATTGCACTTTCATTGTCAATAAATTAAAATAACAAAAACTACCCTTAGGTCTCCTCGTTCAACTTCAAGGGTTTCTTCTCAGTAATTACACAAAAACAGTGAATTTTGAAAGTATAGTTGTTCGCAATCATATACTAGCTTTAATGATCTTTCCAATTAAATTTTAACGATCTTTCCACGCAGCCAGTTGCAGCTGTGTACATTAGGCTGGTATCATACTTAGGGTTAAGATGCCTTACTAAAATTAGAAGTGCTTCAAACCCTGGCACTTGGCAGCAGAAGCTGGGGCTTGCTCACAGAGAACAGATGGCCACTGACAAGATGAAGTGGGTACCTTGACTCCTGAATGATAAACCTGTTTCATTGACCTTCCTTATGTTTGCAAACAGCCAGCAACATTTTGTATGGACAACCATTAATTCACACATTATTCCAATCAGGCTTGGCAACAATTTTTTTCCCCATGACTTGAAGCAAGGTATCTTTTTTTTGTTTGGGGGGGGGGGGGGGGAGTGACAATGCTCCATAAAGTCTTTTGGAGGGAGCAGACAAGTACATACATACTTTACTAAATTGTTGATGTGTTTTGGCAGTACTTTTATATAAGTATGCAAGAACAGCGATTCAAATGGAAACATTCAACCAGATCACATATCATTTTATCAAGTACAAATTTATTTCAACTCACATGTACTTTCAAAACACATGTAAGAACTATATACTCCATACGTGATTGTCAAAACAAAAATAATGCAAATATTGCAAATATAAATTTAAAACATGCAAAAGATTTACCAAAGCTTTGTCTCACGTTAAGTTATCAGCATTTCAGTTAAAGCTATCGATGGGAAATCAATTTAAAAGAAAAATAGAAATTTGGGGAAGTAGGATTTTGTTGTGAAGTAACACAGATCCAAGAAAATGACCCCAAAATCTTCAGACAGCTTGGAGTAATAAATATAGATAAAAAGCTGGGTTACTTACATGTACACACGCATATAAATACACACAGATCAAAAGTAGCTGTATTTACAAAGATAATACAGTGGTTTGGAACCAAGCAATATTTGTACAAAACATATTAAAAAACACACATCTAAATATTTGGTATAAAACACATACAATTTATACAAGATCCTTGTGACACGCTAAACAGTAAAGGCCAAAGGACAGATGGAATGAAATGCAATGTAATTTATTCCTGTTAGGAAACACAGCTACAAAGGAAACCATATAGACATATCTTTAAACCACCCCCCCCCCCACAAAGAACCTCTGAAGATTTACTTCACCAGAAAAACATGATATAGACACGTTTTAATTAGGTCTAAAAAGCTGCTGCTTAACTATTATTCACCTTTCTATATAAAAGGTGGATTAAAATATAAAAGTCATCCTTAGCAAAGTATATTTTGCTATCGGCTGTTTCAATAAATGTTTGGGGCAGTGCACAACTCATTTGTAAAAAACACCAAAAGTCCAGCACCAAGCTGTAGATACATTGTACATGCATCAATTTTTATATTTGACAACAGTTGATTTTTTCCCAGCCAAAACTGTCATACAAAAACCATTGATTTAGGCTTCACACGCTCAATGGAACTGTGAAATGTGACCATTGTTTTTTTTTTGGTGGCTAAGTCACTTTTATATGGCAAACAAAAATTTACAGTACATTGAAAAATATTTTTACTGACGTTCTGCAGTTTGTAAACACAAAAGAAAAACATGAAACTGAAAACAAGAGGGAATGAATTGAGAATGTGTGTGACAAACAGTTTGGAAAAGAATACATTTTGAAACTGGGCAAATGCATTGAGAAAAAGTGCATGTGGGTCCTTACAAAAAAACCAAAACATATAACCAGAGAGATTAGCGACTCTATACATTTCATATCACATAGTGCATTGGATATTTAACAACTGCTTTATAACTTTAAGTTTAGATGTACTTTTGCAAGACCAAAATATTTTTGACAAACTGAACTTTAAATCCAGAACCGGAGTAAGCATTATCACTGACCTTAATTTTGATTGTTATGAATGTACTTGTCTGGAATTGTACACATGACAGTTGACTTCCATTGCTTGTGATTTGGACTCGAGCATGTCTCAAAGTACTCTAGCCTTGGAGTAAAACATTCTGTCCAATATGTAATGCATCAAATACTTGTACATACATTTGCTTGCAATTCAGTAAATTTTTAAACTATGTTTGCAGCAACTTTTTAAAGTTAATGTGAACCCTTCAATTTTCTCTCCAACAATCAATCCTTTGTAACATGGCAAATCAAAACATGATGCAAGTAGAATAACATAATAACATAAAAACACATTTCATATGTTTACTTTCATGTTTACTTTCCACACATGCGCATGTAAACATGTTGCAACCCTGAAATTTGTACAGATTTGAATCCACATGGTGGAAATTTCAACTGAACTGATGACTAGTCCATATGTGTGCGTCGCAGGGTTTAATGAATATCATCACCATCAATTGCTGTCTTTATATAAACAACAGAGGGCGGGCTTCTATATCAGCATTCCAAAAGCCAAATCAAAGTTTTGGTCGAATATGTGCCAACTTGCCCATACAATGCATTTCTTTGATAAGTAAAACACGTCACGCAATCCTAGTCCAATAAACGGCTAGCTTTTAGCATCACAGGGGTTTGTTTTTCTAAAACTCTCTCCCACAATTCACCGCTCACTCATACGAAAACGTTGATTTTGACTTATTGTTTTCACATTGTTTGGAATCTAATTGCCACATCTTGTAAATCAGTTTATGAGCTGTGAAATGAAAGCGTACAATGTATTTACATTCGCACAAATTATTTTTTTTAAGATTGGAAGGATAACTCGGTGGAAGAATAAATGGCAAGCTGCCAGCTGGTGGGATGGATGAATCATGGAGTAGACGAAAAGTGAATTGAAAGAGAACATCAAGTAAACCCTTCATCCTGTTTGATCAGTCACAGACAGTCAGAAATTCAATCCACTTTCCCTCCCATAACTATACACAGGCTAGTCACCAACAGGCATAAGGAATAAAAAAACTGTGAAAATCTACATGAAAGTCAAACTGGGAAAACCAACATATTTCGGATGAGTGTGGCAGGTCCATAATGGGAGTAGCATCCCCATGGTTGAACAACTGCCACTTTAAAAAGAAAAACCTAAAAGTAACTATCCAAAGAAAGCTGTCTTTAATGTAAAACAGACATGACAGACTAAGGAGCTGCTACCCCTTTCAAAGAAACCCACACAAAACACTCAGCTACATTGACTAACAATTAGCCACAAACTATTTCATTGGAGCACCATATGTAAGCAACAGCTAGGTTCAGTATACATGTAGCCTTTAAAACAACGAAAAAGAGCAGCAGTGGAAGACATTAGGCAGCTTTCTTAAATTACTTGATAGACAGCAGTGCATAGCAACAGCTTCCCCTAATCATGGTTACTATGGCAACATACAGGATTTTGGCTACCATACAACACCAACCAGCCAGGTAATTCCACTAATGTTTTTGTTGAAAGGGGATAAGGGGAAAATGGCATGCATGATCAAATTGTTCATGTTGTATGCCTTGAAGGCTTGATGCGTTGCATGCTAATGGAACGTATCTGATATTATACAAAATACAACATGGTTTGTCGGGAAATAGTGAAAATGAATGACCCCGAGGTGTTGGATGATTCGCCTTGGGAGATAGTCCCAACCATCCAACACCGAGGGGTCATTTGTTTTCACTAGTTCCCCGCAAAAAACATGTTGTATTTGTTTTAGTATACCTCATAAATATTCATCAGGCAGCTGCAGTATTTCATTCGTCCATTCCACCATGTTTTTTGATCGAGCAGTATTTGGATAATGTGAAACATTATTTCAATCTAAGGAAACGGACAGAATTGAAAGTTAATTTTGTGTCATTTATTAACTTTAACATTCACGCAAAACACTGCATTTATTATTATTGTGCAAAATTTCACCCACTTCCTCCTCAGTTAAAATCGCAAAGCGAGCACCACCGGTCGTGTCGCCATTTATATGCATGCCATAATAGACTGGCACATGCAACTGTCCTCACATGGTGTTTTCCACGGTACGTACGTAAAGCACATGCGTCGTGTAAAGAGATAACACAGTACTGGAACAAATCTAAGGTTGCGACCCAGGCGTGTGATAGTACCTCCCTGGTTTTTGCACGTCACGCCCCCGTACCAAAATGCGGGGTGATAGTAAAAACTTTCACACGATCGAGTTGCTGGAATGGACCAATGAAATGCCGCGGTTGCCTGATGAATATTTATGAGGTATAGTAATACAGGTTTACCGATGACACAGCTTGTGTCATCGGCAATATATAAAACAAAATTCGCCTGCGCCTGCAAACATGACCAATATACATGTACCGTACTTGGGTCTGAACTTACAATTGGAAAGTGATGTGTTATTCTCTAAGCATTGTAGTATTTGTGTTTCCTTCTAAACTTTACACCACCGTAAATGGGCCTTATTCACGAGTATTGAATTAAAAGTGAGGTAAAATCTTAATATTTGGAACTTGCGAAGAGAAATGAAAGCAACTTAATTTCTAATTAATTCCAGTCTGCTTCAATGAATAATTTAAAATTTGTAATTAAACATTCCCTAATGTTAAAAGCCAGATTTAAACAGAAATTGACAATAAAATAATGCTGCATTGTGCCTGCATATATAGTCTGGCGCCATCCCATTCAACGGTTAACACTTAACGCAATACATTCAGGGAACTCGACAAAAATGGCCAACTCGTAAATAAGGCCCATACTTATTCAGCAACAACAAGCATTCCCTTAACTTTCAAAATGGAGTCAAAACCCCCAGAGAAAGACAAATCACAGAAAAGAATGTCCTATGACAAGTCAACCTTCATGAGTACAGGTTGCCAAGTACCCTGTCAGCCTGGCACAGATGCGCCAACCAATTGGAGAAATTATTATCTGATTCAGATCAAGTAAATTAACGCTGGATGAGATGGCTTTGCAACAGTTGCTGGAGTCAAGTCACCAACTTGAAGAATTGTAGGCAGCAGAATATTGGGACAGTGAAATTTGTAGAAATTATGAGAGGACTGAAAAAAAAATCATTAGCTAGTAAAAAGAGCTTGTGAATGCATCATTGACAGTGAAGAGAATCTGCGTGGGACGAGACCCAGAATGTCTGACAAAAGTCAATAAAGGTCTGCACCCTTTGTTGGAAAATGATCAGTTGTTGAATGAGCATGTGATCTTCTCTCTCAAGAATTAGGTGAAGGATATCATTTTAACTGAATTTTAACAGATGATGGAGTTACACTTCCCTGAGAAGAAACCAGATGACATGATATCACAGGATGACATCCAGTTCTGGAATGCCATTACTACTCCTTGAGTCGGAACCAGATTTGCAGAGCAGATTGATGGCACTGCACCACCTTGATCTTCTCATCAAGACTAGCTTCAAGAAGAATCTTAAGTACCATTCTGACTACACCAACTTCTTATAGAACATCATCATGCGGAAGACATCATCATGCGGCAGAAGTGGCTGGTACCGTACTGATGTTAGCAAATCATCTGGAGTGTGTGGTATGCATACATACCCCACATGGGGTCTATCACCCCAAGAAGCAGGGGAAGATTTGTGTGGAGTTCGACTGCAATGCACAGTATAAGGGAGAGTCCGGACTGCGACTGTACAACTTTATATCAAATTCTAGAGACGTCATGAAAAGTGTCCCACAGGAAGACCGAGCAAGCAAGATGCTCTTGCCATTGAGAGAGCCCCTGGAGTTACAATACATTATTACAATACATAATTGAAACCACAAGCTTCTGTCAAGACCATTGTTTATTTGTGTTCTTTGGAATTTGCGAGACACTGCATCCCCTATAGTGGCAGATCTTAATAGGCCACTGATCTTAATAGGCCACTGCAAAGGCTGCCACTACATATACAAATTGCAGTGTGAGGTGACGTACATGTATAAAGACTTGATGGTTTGTGGAATGATGAAGTTTGTCCTCCTCAAAGCACTGTGGAACCTCCCGCATAAGGAATCATGTTGGGATGCATTGACATGCTCATCAAATATTGGAGTGAATTTTTAGTGCCCCAACCAGTCAAAAAAATGGGTTAAGTGTGAGAGTCCCTGTAATTGGTCAATTAAACATTTTTCTTCCTACCAGAGATGCCACAGGGTCTGCTTGAAAAAAACCGGAACGGTGTCTGCTTTAAAAAAAACCGGAACAGCTGCTTGGAAAAAACGGAACTTTATTTTTTTTGTAAAAAAGCCAGTAAGTCCCTATTGTCATCTTTCGCTTGCAGCAAGCCAAGCTCCATTTATTTTTTTGCTTCTATGGCGATTAATTCACTTTCAATCACTTTGATTTTTCCATATTCCTATTATTTTTTCTGCCTACCCGAATTTCCAACGTAATATTCCACATGAAACATCAAAAACATGCACGATTCCACAACACTGTTTCTTGTACATGACCTTTGCCCTACGCGATGTGCAAGACAAAAACGTTGTTGGTACCCGGCGTTTTTGTGTTCACATATATCACTGCGATCGGGAACCACCGATACATGTAACTGAAATGATAGACTTGATTTCCAGGCTGAATGCTACGTGTGCTTTGCACACGACACGCCCGCATGCTGTGCATGCAGCACGCGGTGCATGCAGCACGTGAGGCGCCATTGTATACTGTGTGCAAGTATGTACGTCGGCCGCCTGTATCGCATGCAGACTCGGCAACAACAAAGACTTGTTTTTAAGACTACTTCAACGAACAACGTTGAGCCAGAGCGCTATTAAAAACATTTGCACAGTTTTTCTTCTTTTTTGTCCAGTTTTTTTTTATGGCCGGAAAGACCGGAATTTTGTGAGATTAAAAAAAACAAAACCGAATTGCGGTTTAAACCGAAAAAGTGGCATCTCTGTTCTACACATTTGCACAGGATTACAAGGTTTAGAATGGGGTTTCAATGACGCACATGTACATACATGGTGTTAAGCCATGCTTCACTTTGTGGAAATGTTTTCCTTCTTTTTTTCTGCATCATTTACATTAAATTAAGCTTTGATTAAATAAATTTTGATCAATGCAAAATTATAGTACATGTAAATGAAATCAATGCCCCATGTGAGGGGAAAAAAAACCTTAATTTAGCCAACATTTTTAGATTTATGTCAGTCTGTGGTATAACTGATGACTTTATTACCAAGCAAAAGAGACTGTGTTAAATTACTGCATTACTCATCTTGCAATGGTTCTTTCTATTCCCTCTGTCCTTTTTTTAGTAGAATGCTGGGTTGGTGTGCTCAATAATGCACTTTCTACAGTGCTTCTTGAGTACTCTGTAGGCCTGAACACTCAGTTCATCACATTCTTGTATGTTGAGCTGCTGCAGTTCTGGGCAGTACCTGGCTAATATTGTAAGGCTCTCACTTGTCACGTTCACACAACCTCGGATGCTCAGCTTGCGCAACCCAGAACAGTTAACAGCCACACTGGCCACTCCTCTGTCCGTGATGGATGGGCATTTGCCAACATCTACAGACCTTAGTCGTGGACAACCACGAGCCAACACATCCAGCGATTTATCAGTGATGTGTGCACAGCCGCGGACATTCAAATACCGGAGTTTTACACACAACTTGGCGATGGCATACACACCCATATCCGTGATGAGTTCACACTTAGCGATGCTCAGGTATCTCAGATGTGATTCTAGTTTGGCAACTTCCCTCATTCCACAGTCTGTGATACGATGACAGTCACTCAGAGAAAGCTCTTTGATCATGAAGCAATGGGCTGACAGGTACTGCACACCGATATCTGTCAGTTGATAGCAACGTCTGAGGTACAGGTTCAGCAACCCTGGACAGTTGGTAGCAATGATGCGTAGACCACTGTCATCCAATGAGGAGCAGTCAGATAGGTCCAAATGCCTGAGGAGGATAGTCTGGCCTTGTAGGGGGCTGGCTCTGGATGCATTGTAGTCCGAAGGAAAGTTCAGAAAATTAACCTGCTGACATCCTGCAGAAAATGCACAAGTACAAGACAAAAAATCATTAATGTTGTTACTATGTTATAGTTCTGATAAGACATTTAAAGAAACATGAAAGATTAGATTAATCTGGTGCGAGAATTAAGAGAATTAGTGTTCCACATGAAGGATCAGTGTGTACACAGGTCTATGGTAAAATCAACTTCTACCGGTATCCTCGCACAAAATTATAAATTGATTTCAGACGTTGTTTCAGTAATAAGCAAGTTCCTTGGCGTCTGTGATAATGATCCAAACATGTGGAATGGGTGTGTTTATTTACACATTGCTCAGTAAATTGGGGCAGGGCTGTAAATTTCTCCAGTTGTGTTGAAAGAGAACAAGCATATGCGCAATCTAAGGGCAACCACATGCACAGGTTCACATGAATAAAACTTTCATTTTTATTCAATAAATATTGAATTTTTTTTGCATGCTACAAAAGCTTTTTTTCTGAAGTCACATAAGTCACTCACTATAGATGAGCTAACATCTCGGCGGAAAACAAATGACTGACATATTTTCAATCAAAGTGAGGGCTTTAAATTGTGCAACTTGTGTGTACAAAGAAATTAATAAAGGACTGACCAAAGTGTCATAATTTCACCATAATACAGATAGTGGCACCTAGGGGACAGGCCTTATTGCCATCCATGGAGGATGTTAAAAGTATAAAATGTTGAGTACCACAGGGCTATTTGTAGGGTATTGATTAATTATGAATATTTTGTAAAGCAATGAACTGTATCGAAAAATGCTAATGTGCATACATATTCTGACAGAAATTCCATATTGATTGCAGTTTCTGCTGCCAGATCACATTCGTACCGGCCAGCTGATATCCTAGCCAGTTCAGTTGTCGAGTGGCTAAGATGTCTGCACAATTAAGCAGGAGGTCGTTGGTTGGAGTCTCAACTGGGCAATGTTGTGAATTTTTTTCTTGCAAGTTCTTGGACAAGAATTACAAATTGTCATTGAAGGGTAAAACCCCAAATTAAATTGATGTATTTTCGACACAAATTGCGTCATAAAATGTTGCGACCTTTAGGTACCTGTACCTAGTTTCTCAAATATTATTTGAGTCAGCATGTCTAATTTCTCATGACAAAGAAGTGTTTCATTTTCACCTACCCATTAAATCCATATAGTCAATGCTTGGACATCGCGAGACCAATTCAAAGACTCCTTCATTGGTAATGTTATTGCACCCTCCCAATTCAATCCGTAGCAATTCCGGACAGTGTCTGGCAATTAAACTCAGGCCTCGATCCGTTAGCTGGTCACACCCATTCAGTACAATCCTCTCCACAGTCAGGCACACATAGGGTGTCTCTAAGCACAGCCTCCGTATCAGACACTTCAAGGCATAATCAATGTTCTTCTGTCGCTTGGACAACAGGATGGACGTCCATAAGCAAGGTTGCCAGGCAAGCCGCTGCCATCGTTTGCAGACCTGAGAACAGCGACACAAACGCTTAGCTGTCAGGTAAGAGAAGATGTTAGTGATGACTTTGTCTGTGAGTTTGTCAAATGGTGAGTCATTGGCAGTCCTTGGAGGAGCCAGTTTCTTCCTCATTTTAGTCATGTCCACCTCGGTAACCTCCTGGGTCTCTATGAGTGGTGTTGGACTAGTAGCTGAGGATGACGCCCCTGAACTTGTGGCAGTACTCTTGGACTCTTGTGAGGGTGACTTGGGGGATGCCTGGGATCCATTCTCAAGCCGCAATTTCCTGACCACTTGCAAGGAGTCTAGAAGGAGATAAAGAAAAGAAGAAGCAAATAAATCACAAAAAGAAGCAAATAAATCACCAACAGCCTTTAATTTTGCACAATTCTCCATTGTTATTTGCCCCTCAATACTCCTCAGGTCACATATCATTTTGTGTTTCTTTTACAAAGAAGTTGCTGGAAGAAGTTCTTTCAAAGTGAGTTATAGAAAATGCTGATCTGATGTAACAACCCACAATCTACAAAAACAAGTTTGACTTTGACAAAACTGTAGACTTCATGTTGAAGTTAATGACTATTGACTAAAACACTCAAATATTCTTGAGGTAACATTTTGTCATGATTTAGTCTACAGGGTATTCAAATAGCAATGAAGGAATTATTTCGAATTCCCTTCAGCACCAAGTTGTGACAGTTGAGAATCTGACGGCAGACCCCGATGCACATAAAGCATTCAGGTCAACCTGGCCTACTGTTATAAATCTAGTATAGGACGCATGAAATATGGGCTTAATACTAATATTTGCTGTAGAATGACACCTGGTAAGCAAATCTTATATATGAAGAAAGCCTGCCTACATTGTACGTGTACAGTTATTGTGAACGGACATCAGGAGTAATTTTTATGTGTAAGTTACCACAGATGGCAACTGATGTTTGAATGTTTATGCTTGACATTACATGTACAAGCAAACCTGACTTTGCTCCATTATTGATACTTGGTTATTTTATAATTTTAACACGTTTGGCTCTCGCTTCTGCACTCATATAAAATGTTTGAAGCATTGTTTGTTCATTCTTTTGTTTACAACCAGAAATTTCAACCACGGCAGGCAACATTTTATTATGTTTTATTATTTTATTTCTTTCTGGTAATGAAACCAAGGATTCCTCAAAAGTGCTCTGGCCACTGTAGCCCAAAAGCCTGACAAAACCTGAAGAGAGGAGACAATGAGAAGAAATTACAGTTTTGGAGGTGGGAGGAGAAGCCCAGAAGAATACTCTGGGGAAAACCCACGGAATCAGGTAGGGACTGAAAACCCAATCCACATATTGGCCCAGGCTGGATTCGAACCAGGGTCACAGCGGTGGAAGGCAAGGAAAGTACCGCTACGCCAACCTGACTCCCTTAGGCCCAAAAAAAAAAGTCTCCGGTTTCTGGTATGGAGCTTGCCTAAAAAGTGGTGCGGCGACGCGGCTTTTTTTTTCTTTTTACCTGATTTTTTTGCTTCAAATGTCGGCTGATGACTGCAAATGGTGCCCGACTAAACTTAGTGCAAATATATGGGAGTCCAGAGAGGCCACATAAAGCTTATTCTCGACCATAACCCAATCTAAAAACACGTTAAAATTCTGCAGCAGCAGGATTCCAGTCAAACCAGTGAGTTTGGCGGTTTTGAGACATCATCTTTCATTGAAAAAAAAAACTTTTTCATTTTGCCGACGCGCATGCCTACGGCGATGCGCGCGCATACCAGAAACCGGAGACTTTTTTTTTTTGGCCTTACCAACATATTTTGCTTAAATATTGCACATGAATTTATGTTGAAATTATGAAAGAATGAATCTTCATTTTGTTTTGGTAACGGCTACTAATGACAGTGTCATGATAGCCACAGGGTATTGTGTTCTGATTAATGGCAGTCCATAGTTAGTCAAGCACTGGAAAGCAACAGCAGGCCTTTCACACTATCCCAAATCTCTGTTTAGGACCCGGGGTCCAACACAGAGATTTCAGAACCCCTACACACTAGCAAGAATCCAATGCAGCTTCCTCATGGGTCTGGTGCTCTACATGAGTAACATCCAACCCTGGATGGGTCCGGGGTTGAGAGGCTCTACCCGGGTAGAAAATCCAAAATCTACAGCCGACCCGTGTACAAACGGGTGTAAGTGTAAACGGTGCGCCTCGCCTACCCGTGTTGGATGGGACCTGGTTCTGTTCATGGTGGACCCATATCAACATGGTAGGCAAAATAATAATGTGAAAAGGGCTAATGACATAGCAAAAGAAGGTCTATATGATCCACAATGTAGCTGCTTATGATATACATGTAATTCAACTACATGTACGCGTAAACACAGAGCTCATTATAACTAGAAGTTCTATTCATATAAAGTCAACATTACATTAGCCACTAGTCAACCAGTGATCATTAATTAACTGAACTTAACACACCACATACACGTACGCACATTCTTATCTCACAATCATTGACTGCAATTAATAGAATTTTTAACATTTTGAACTGGCCATTCCCAAAATCAACAACCCGCACCAAGGAAAAATATACCCCCCCCCAAAAAAAAACCCACACACACAAAAAGTCTGGAACCTGGATAAAGCATGTCCACAGTTCCTCCATAAAATAATCAATCTTTAAAGATTTTGTCCTACCGGTACAATCTTCATTGTACATTTATGTACATAATGCACTGTGTATTTTCAGGTGTACCGGTACAAAATGTATTTTACCATTTCGTTTCTTTTCACTACTGACCTACATGTAATCCTTTGGGTTTACTAATGACAAACTTCAGCATGTCTCCTGTGCAATCCCTGTGAAAAGTGCACAACCAAACCTCCAGAACTACAAGCTGGCTAGTAATCCCAGAGATATATTCCACAAAGTCTACCACACTGCTAGCCAGACACATGCTCAAGTTCAATGGAGAGGGTGGATCAAACTCGTCTATTGCACGTCACTTCCCAATCATGCCCAGTAAAGAGCAACCATTCACGGGATAAGATGACAGACTCCATTGGAAACTGGTTGTTGGAATCCCACTTCAAGGTGATAAGGTGACGTAATTTATGTGATCACTCAGGACAAAGTCCAGCATTGAAGCTGATACTCCGTGTCTGAAAGAGCAAAGTTTGGTTGTAAAACTTCCCCCTAGAAAAAAACTAGGTTTACTAGGCAGAGCTAGTCCAAAATATCAACAGTTAAACAGCTGAAGCAACTGTACCTTTCCATCCAACACAACAATGGAGTACCCACAGGCTCTCACACATGCAATGCCAGCAAGAAAGAACAAGATTATGAGTTCCATTCTCAGTTATTTTCATTACTCAATGCTCAGGCCTCCCAGATATTTCTTACCAAAGGAAACGCAACAACATGATGGATTAGTGACTTGATGGATTGACTGGGTCTGGTTTAGTGGAAGCTGTGCAGATGACCTCGTAAAGAGGTCAAGGAACCTGGGTCATCTCAGGTCAGACAGGAATTCTATTTAAGGTTTGGCAAATGATAATAATGACCGCTCTTTATATTCATTAGGATGTACATGTTTAATCAAAAGGGTGAAAATTGTGTTCATATACTGTGATCTTCAAAAAATTCAATTCCCCCTCCCCCCTCCCTAAGAAATGTTGACCTTCTTTTACCCCAACCCCCGACCCTTTTACCTATTTTGGGCATCTGCAACCGTATGGAAAAAAAAAGAAGCTTTTATGTTACATGTACTTTTATGTTACATGTACATGTACATGTACATAGGTCGCTTTAGCACACACTACATGTCTGAATTGTCTGAATTACTTGAGTACGGCTTGAAGAACACATTCACTTATTGAAGGGGCTGCAGCCATTTGATTTCTCATACATGTAGATATGTGTTATTGTTGGCAATAGCCAAGTAATTCGGACGCGGCGTTAGATTCGCCCTACAAGTAGACTGGTTCCCATCCCCTCATAATTCATTCCAAAAGAGGGGTGGAAACCAGTCTTCCCTGGGAGAACTGAATTATTGTCAGGCCTCAAATAAATATAAATTTGTAAAGTAATTATCCAATAACTAAATGTAGGCCAATCAGTCTAACACCTGTTCGACTTAAACTACATGTAGTAGTCTGAGTGAACCATGTTGGTCATTCAACTCACTGCTTAAATGTAAAGTTAGCTTAACATTGTAGTTAATTGATTGCCAGAAGACATGCTACCGTATTAAGGCATACAAATAAGCAAGACTAGGCTATCAAGCTGACCAGAAAGCCTCAGTTTAGGACATACATGTACTCATCAGTGACTCAGTCAGACAGTCAGTCTGTCAGTGGCCATTCCTGGAATAGTGACAGGCATGCATCTTTTAGCTCAACTTTTCTGGTCAGTGTCATTTATTGTCCCCAAAACATGTACATTGTAAGCGTACACACAAACATTGAATCATGTTCCTGTCTTCAGTGGCTGCACGAAAAACAAAGATCAATCTTTAAAGGTCATCAAATGTTGTCACTCTGCTCCTTCAATGCAAGTCATTAATGTCATGATTAATCAGTGACTCTCTCATCAACCCCCCACCACCTTAGGTGTTCAGTAATGCCGTCACATGACCCTCTTCACACCCTTCTAACTCCCAAGGGGGGGCTCCACTAATCAGATATCAACCATCTGTCACCATTGTAAATACAAAGCATGTCAGATTATTCAATTGGTGTTGACAACTGCGGAGTTGGTTGCCTGGCAACAAATGTTTACCAACCTAACAATGTCCTGTAAATGTGTCAGGAAATGGTTCAACTTTAAGTGGGTAATGTTCACATATACATTTCACATGTACATTTTAGGGTGTCTCACAAAAAAATGAACCCTGAAAGCGTCCTCTTTTTCACAGCTTTAAAAAAAATTCATCGCAAACATCTATACATACTTATATTAGAGAGTATAGTCCATTAGCTTTTCGACAACGAAAAAATCTTTCCAATCATGTAAATATAGAGTTATGGCCAATTCAAAATAAGTGCTGATTTTTCAATCTGTCCATGGTCTCAATTGTCATTGTCAGAAATGTAACTGGATTTGGGGTGAGGGTAGTGTTGCTTTTTTAACGTTTTAATCTCTCATATTTATTTTGTTCATTTTTTTTTTTTTTTGCAACAATGGTCATTTATCCTTTTGGAAGAAATGGTATTCCTGAAAAGAACTGTTTGATTAATTTCTTAGATGTTTACTTTGCTGGGTTGTCTTTGCCCTCTACTTGGTAGCCTTTTTTTCACAACTGCAAGTTTCGGTCCTTTT